CTATATGGTAGTCTCATAATAATTAAAACTATCCTGTAACATCCCATAATAGTTAAAACACTCTAAGATTCTATAACAGAAAAAAATTACTGCGTAACAACCCGTAATAGTTAAACCAGAATATAACATTCCATAATAGTTTTGTTGCTAAGCAACGATGTATATTGTTGATAATTACCAAAAAATAATTGTGTAAGCATTCTCGACAGTATAACATCCCATTTTCTGCATCTTTGTTGGTCAATCTTGATTTCACAAAATTTATTTATTTTAGTCAGCTATGAATTGGTGAGGTTAGGGTATACTATGGGATGGGGGTTAAAGTACTTGCTATGTCATTTTTGATGAGCTATATACTAGTAATAGTTCATAAGCCACTCCATAACATTCCATAATAGTTAAAGCCAATCTATAGCATCCCATAATAGTTAAAACTACTGTATAACATTCCATAATAGTTAAAAAACTACTGTATAACATTCCCATAATAACTAAAACTACCCTATAACTTCCCATAATAGATAAAAAGTCACCCTACATCATCCTATAATAGTTAAAGAAAACACTATATATCCCATAATAGTTAAAACAATCTAACATTCCATGGCAGTCACATTTATTTTCTATGTGATTTTTCACATAAAAAGATGCACACGTGCATGCACATGCACATAGATAAGTAATAATACTCAGATGCAAACCCTCAGGGTCCACTTAGTATGGGTGCAAAATTTCTGGTTTCACGTTATTTGCTCTTGGAGCTATGTTGGTCACATATTCTTTTCTATGTGGTTTTTCACCAGATTACCTCACAAAAAGGTACACATGCACATGGATAAGTAATAATACACAGGTGCACACCCTTAGGGTGCACTTAATATGAGTACAAAATTTCAGGTTTCTCAGTTCTTTCCTCTTGGAGCTATGGCAGTGACTTTTCTTTTCTATGTGGTTTTTTGCATAAAAAAGATGTGCATGGAAGTAGACAAGTAATAATACCCAGGTGTGCATACCCTAAGGGTCCACTTAGTAAATGTGCAAAGTTTCAGGTTTCTAGGTTCTTTGGTTTTGGAGTTATGGTGGTTATACACACACACCCTTTTATTATTATAGAGTTTTGTAGATAAGCCTTGAACATATGGTAAACAATGTTATCTCATGTTATCTACTTTACATTTTCCCTCTGACCTTGCACATGTTAACATTCTTAATTTATTGATAGGTTTGTGATGCAGTCTATCAATAATTTTGGGTGTATATCTTCTATCTATGGCTGCATTGCAAATAGGTTGAGTACATTCTATTAAAATGATTTTGGAGCCTTACCACACCATTACAGTCCGTGTCATCATGTCTGGCCATGCTTTATCAATTACATTTTAATAGGAGCACTGTAGCTTAGTTTCCATTGCAGAAGGCTTTTGTAAGGCACAGCACTCCTCCCACCATGCTTTCCATAATTCATCTCATATAAAGATGATGATTTTCCAGCACCCATTTCAGTAGTTATGACAGAAATCCACAGTCACTGCATTTAATGACTTGACCAGTATGTCATTCAAAGGAATAGCATACATACCCATTTTAATGTGACATACAATGTATATTGTTAGATATACACAACTTTTTCAATTTTAAGTATAGTGCAAGTGTTAAATTTAGTTATTTTTAGAAGGTAGTTTATCGCAGGTTTGTTTATGCAACTGTATGAATTATACATTGTGTAATTCAACTGTTGTGAATTGGCAATTGTTGTACTATTGCATCATGTTACTAGAACCATCTAAGTTTTTCTTGTTGTTTTAATTGTGTATTATTGTATCATAGCATTTTGTAGGTGTAAAAAGTTGTGGACCTCTGTCTGGCTATAAATTCATGTTCAAAATTTAGTTCGAGTTAAGATAGCTAGAAAGTTTGTTAGATACATCTAGACTGTGTGTTTGTGAGTTTAGCCATAAAGAGTGTATAGTGGGAACTTTTAAAGTGAAATTATCACAGATTGTATCATAACAACAGAGTAGAGAAGAATAATTTGTCTTGTCACTTGTGTTCTAAAGTAACTGAACCAGCCTGTGTAGACTTTGACGAAAAGAGATGATTACTTAAAGCTCTGGATACAATTGTGGTAATTATCTATGTAACGAACATTTGTATATACGTCTGACTTATTTTTATATATTATTTGAAAACAATAAAATTGCGTACTTTTTGTATTTTGTTGAAATTTAATGCCAACAAGTCACAGACACTTACTGTAAAGAAACCTGACAATACTCAACCCTCTGCATATTTATAAAACAAGTTTTAAGCCTGACTTTATCAGCTTACTAAACCTTGATTTCAGAAGTTATTTTGTATTGATTAAAATGTTTCTCAGAGCTACCTGAGGCCCCTATAAATTTTAAG